CCCTCACCTCTGCAAGCCTGCATAGCATCCAGCTTTCTTGCTCTGGGTCCCCAGCAGACCCAACAGTGAGTTTAGTCTCTAGTACTTTTTGCAGTTCTGTGCTCCAGTACTTAGTCTCATCTCTGTGGTATCTCCATTTTGCTGATATGGCAGAAATTTGAATTTTCCTGTACACTGTATGTAGCTGCCTTCTGAAAAGAACACCTACGGAGTTGGAAGATTTCCAAAGCGTTGTGCAGAGCTCTTTGCTCTCCCTTGCTCAGAAGAAAAGGGTTGTTGAGATGTTTGGTTTCCTTAAAACTTTCTCAGAATGGGAGAGAATATTTGGTCTAACAACTAACTTCCTTTCAAAGGAAGGAGTATGGTTTGCTTGCTTTACACAGCAACTTTTTCTTCAGCTAGAGCCAAGCGCAGTGTTGTACTGAATTCAGTAATGCAACATGCGCAGACTGGGAAGAAACCTAGGAAGAGGACTGTTATTCTCAACACAAGAAATGGTTTGGTACAGGATCTTGACAGTGGCAAAAAGAAAAAAAAACCCAACAACTTGGGTTGTGAAAATTACTTGCATTCATGCCATCAGAAATGTTAGCAGGCTTCTTTGTGCATTGATTTAGGCATTCAAAGGATAATTTAGGTTGGAAGGGACCTCTGAAGTTTCTCCAGTCAAATCCCCACTTAAAGCAGGGCTAATTTTGAGGATTGGTCAGGATGCTGTGTTTTGTAATTCTTAATGATATTTAAAACCTCATGAAATCTTGATGAGTGTGTTTCCAGGTCATTGTGAATTGTAAATTTTCTTTATAGGCATTAGATTACAAAGGTATTTGTAATCATATGACTCATTTCTAGGGGGAATGTCTCATAAAAATAATTAGCTCAACTTATATTTGGGATTTACAAGTTGTGACACAGCTCCAGAAGATTTTTAGGCTCAATATGTAGTGACTTGGGGAAGTTGGGAGTGAGGGAGAAGGGAGGAATAAGCAGTGGTCAAAGCCATTTTAAACTAGGGTATATGTGCTAGTGCAGTCCAGCTTGTGAGAGTGCCCACAGAGTGTTTCCACTTTTGATCAGCTGTCTTCTTAGGAAAAGTATGTAAGTAAATCTATGCACTATCCTGAGTTTTATTGACAGCTTGAAAACACAGACTTTCCTTTTTTTTTTGACACAGCTGCAATGGGTCCTGTTTACACTGCTAAAATAAATGTTTAAGGATAGCTATCCTCTTAATGACAATTTTTTCTCCAGTTGTGGGTGGGAGGGAAATGAGACATCTAGAAAACCATCTTTTAACTGGCCTTCTTGACACAAAGTGAAGATCATCAACTGGCACTTATGATAGGATTAAGACTAAGCTTGTTTAAATTGTGATTAGTTGAGTACTGACAGACCATAAAATAACTCACTGTTATCTTGGAGATCTCCTGTGGTCACCACAAAAACACACAAAACCATGTTTTTCCTTTTTTTTCCTTTGGCCTTTGCTCTCTGTAAAAAGAAGTGCTCATTCTGTTCTGGAGGTTTGAGCAGAGTTGAGAGCTTGCAGATCTGATAGTTTCAGAGAAAATTACGCTCTTTTGCAAAGGGATATTGCCACTAAAACAGATAACCTAGCATAGAAACGCTGGGTTAATTCATCATTGCATTGTGATGACTTTTTAATTGTTTCTGGGGTTGTTTGTATTGTTTTGGCATGTAGTGTGTGTGTGGGGGTGGTTAGAAGTAGTAGAATAGGCTGAAATGTAAGGAAAATACTAATTGTAAAAATGCAGTTCTACAGAAAAGCACACTTCAGCACACAGATCTTGACGTTTAGTGCTGTGGTCCCAGGAAAGCTTCTGTAATTCCTGTTCCCTGTACCCACCCACCCCATAAAGTGGGTAACCATGTGTTGAGTTTTTTGTTTTTAAAAAGGGGATTGGATGATTAAGATACCTTTAAAGCAGCCTTGCCGTGGATTGGACAGCTGTTCTTTCGTAACCGCCGCAGGGTGACTGTGGCACAGATTGCTCAAAGACCCGAAAGCCAGGTCCTGGCCACAAGGGGAAGGCTCCAGTGCTGGGCTCCTCTCTTGTCCTGCCCACTCCCACCCGTGGCAGCGCAGTTTGTCTCCTGCCTGCGCTCACAGTCGAGAGCTGCCGGTGGGGGATGCTTGCCCAGGCTGAATGGGTTCTGGTGAGTACGTGCACCTAAACGTTAAAGGCTTACGGGATGCTCTGTTGTGTCTTCTCCTCATGGGTCGTGGCTTAAAGGATGCTTTGTTGTATCTTTTTACGTTTGATGTTTAAAAACTCTTAAGAGTTTGATCACAAGGCAGTAGCATTGGTATTTTAAGGTGGAGTGGAGGGTTGTGAAGTTACTTTGAGCTTCAGATTTCCTTAATAAACAGCAGCTAAACAGAAATGAAGCTGCTAGTTGCAAATGCTCAGCTGTTTTCCATTTAGTCTCTTCACTTGGGGTTCAATGGCATAGATGTGTCAGGCCTCAGCCTGTCTTGTTAGCAAATGTTTTCATAATCCTGGCTGCTGCTTCCCATACATATTTTTTAGAGTGGCTCACTGTGGTGTTTGCTTAGCAGGGGAGGAATTTCAGTATCACCATGTAGAGCTGCTTCTTCCATTCCCCAATTTATGTAAATAGCAAAAGATTAGCATATTTGAATAGGGTTTTTTTGTCACTGAATGGAGACCAAAGAGTCCAGTTATACTAAAGTGGTGTGTTCACTCAGCTTGATGATGTCCTATCAGCTGCAACTGAGTGGAGGTTGGCTTTTAGCAGTACTAATAATGCTAACAATAACAAAAGTGCTAATAAAAAGCTACGTGAGAACTACTCATTAATCAGTTGACACAAATTTGGCAACGTTTTTGTACACAAATGACATACACAAGGAATTAATACTGTTTTTTTTACCCCCCTTCTCCTCTTTTAACTAAGAATTAAGAGAAAAACAGTTCTTGACCAGACATGATTCAAGGCCAAAGAATAGTTGGATAATCACACTCTGGGAGGGAGCAGGGCTTTAGCATTTTGGGTATGCCACAGAAATTTTCAGTCTTAAGGACTGAAATACAGCAATATATTTTGAGTTACATTTTGGTCATTCCAAGGGCTGGGATGAGGATGGTCTCTGATATGAGTCAGAGGCAGATATCAAAAAATTGTCATTACAGTATGATATTATGTTTGCAAAAAATATGTAGAGAAAGCAGATAAGGTCAAGGAAGGTTTCCTTTTGTCAGAAGTGGTGGAATGGGGTAGAATCTGTTCTTTTATCTGCGTTGTTTGTGTAAACTGACCTTGTTTACTGCTCAGGATCCTGGATTACTCTGGTTTCTAGATATTGCAGTACTGTCTTCCTTGGAACCAAGTGTGCTGTGAAAAGAACAAAGCGATTATTTTATTTTCCCAAAAAAAATGTTCTCTAGCTGTTTCTGCAGGTAGGCAGTTGATTGTATTTTTTTGTCAGTAGTATGCTGCAGCTAGTTTTAAGGATGAAAAGGGATTTTCTCCCAGAAATTTCTGGGCACTGTGTCTCTGACACAAAAGCAAGGAGCTGTTTCTAGTTCTTATGTTCTGAATTCTGGCAACAGCTAGCTGTGGGGATGAAGATTATGTGTTTTCCTGGTTTATTGCCAGTCACAGTTCAAAACGGTAATATCTTCCTCTGTTTATGAGGGGAAAAAACTCTCTCCCATATAAAAAACATATACAGACAGCAGTATTTACCAAAACAGTCTATCAGGGAATAGAGTTTTGCAGGTGGCTTTGAGAAAAATTTGATTCTCCATATAGTGTAATACTAAAGTCAGGTGACTGCAAATCTACAGTCTTTTGTAACACATAATTCTTGTGGTGTAAGTGTACAGTGACTTCTTATACTGCCAGAACTCCAATGAGTCTTGTACCAGTTATTGCTCAGAGCTGGATCTTGAATTTTCTCCATGAGGCAGGGCTAAGTGTGCTTTCCTGCATCCTCTTAACTGATACTGCCTCAGTGGAAGGTGGCTGTCAGCCGTTTCCAGGTTTGTGAAACATGTGCAAGGGTCAGGATTGGGCTGTGTGGGGTTTGTGGATGGATGGTGGTTAAATAAAATTGCCACCGAACTAGAATCACTGGTAACAACAAGCAGTGTTTGTACTTGAGCATGTGTATGTAATGGCTTCCATTGCCATGTTATCAGTTTTAACTGGTGGGTGTGAGTTAAACTTGTTTGTGCCTAAGGTAGTTTCTGCTTTAGCAGGCATGGAAATTGTTTAGCATATAGAAGGTACTGTCCAGGGCATGTTTGTAACGTTGGATCACTGTGTCTAGTCAAATGGTTGCAAGTCTACATATTTCTGTCTGCAGGCATGACTGATGAGCTCTGATTTTGGCTTGATGCGTGCTTTGGTTCTAATGTGGAGCTGTAAGGAACAGGAGAGGTTTGTTACCAGTTATGGTGAACCATATATATATATACATTTATATTTATATTTATATACATAAATATGAATATGAATATAAATATAAATATATCTGAGTCTTCTGTGGTATATTTGTAAAATTCAATGTTTAATATAGATTAGTGGGAGGAAAAAACCCATTTACTCTAGAAACACTTATTTTTTGAAAGAAGACAGCGTCTTACTGTAATAGTTTTAAGTTAGTGGTTAACATAGAGATCATCTTGTTAGAGGCTTTCTATTACGTGTATGTACTTCAACCATCTTTCTCGCAAGTGCATTTGAACACTGTAGTCATGAATGTTGTTGTCAGTCTGGTCGCAGGAAAAGGTAAGACTATCTTGTTAATAGTTTTGATGTTGGTCAGACGCAGAACTGGAATGTAATCTAGATCTTTTAAAACCCAGCTCAGTACATCAATAATTACACAGATAATCTCCAGTCAAACCACAAATATCCAAGCGAGCTTTTAGTTACTGTTTTAATCATCTTCTTGTCTGGCATCATCAGTGTCCAGTGTTAGAGCTGCTTTCTTCTTTGTCTTTCCAGAAATGTCCTTCCTGCCCGACTTCGGGATCTTCACCATGGGCATATGGTCTATTGGTCTTGGAGCCATCGGTGCAGCTGTGACAGGGATTGTCCTTGCTAACACTGATTTATTTTTGTCCAAGGCAGAAAAGGCTACGTTGGAGTTTTTAGAGGAGATAGAACTACAAACTTTGGGATCAAGTAAGATTCTGAATGTTTCAGTCCACATTCTTCAATAGTTGGGCTTTTATAAGAACATGTATAAGGCCAGGGTTGGAAGAGTATTTCTTAGTCTTTCCTAGTTATAGCATGGACTTGAATGTCCTTGATAGCAGTCAATTCTGGTGAAGGAAAAGCAACCAAAACTGGTATTTATGGCTGACATGATAACCTTCTAAAAATCAATAAAGTAATAATACCCTGTTATGCACATATAGGATTTTTGTCTGATAGAACTGTATTTGAGTGTGAAATTCTCTGCAGTGATTTGTGTTGGTCCTTATAGCATTAATCGTTATAAAAAAGAATAGCTGATAATATTGTTGATGCTGTTTCTCCTGTATAAATAGAACAAAGAACATTCAAAGCGGCTGAACTATGGAAGAAGAATGGTGCAGTGATCATGGCTGTGCGAAGACCTGGATGATTTTTGTGCAGAGAGGTACTTGCTGGGCTTGGGGATTAATTAGGAAGAGCTGAGCTCTACTTGCATAGATTCCCTTTAAATAAAGGGAGGATGTGAATAGGACAGTCATCAAATACATCTGAAATATTGGAAAGGTCTTGTTTCCTAGCCCAAACTGTTTGCCAGCTAGCAGCTTGCTTAGTTTTCTTTGCAGCTGGTTTGTGTAGTCTTGGTCCTGAGCATTTTCTTTCTGAAGGTGGATACATGATTATTACATCTGCCAGGAACCTAGCCCAGTGATAATTAGAAAGGGAGATTACACAAAATCCAATTGGTAATGAGTGTTATGAGCTAGTTGTATTCCGTATGTCCAAAATAAGTCTCTGTGAGTCAGGTAGTCTCTGGTCAAAAGCAGCCCAAGACTGAACGGACAGAATGCTGTCAAATAAAGCTTATCAGCAAAAAAGAGATGTGCATAAAGGGGAGTCCCTTGCTGCTCTGAATGTGAGGCAGGAAGTTAAGGAGTCTGAAGACAAGGAGTTACTGTTCCATAACAAGGTGGGTTGGGAAACAAAATTGGATCCTTACGTTGGCATTAGGCTTCTTGGGTGAAGGTGAGAGGAGACACTTCAAATACAATTTGAATGTACCATGTTCCTAGGAACACCTCAGCCATTATTTTTCTCATAGCTATGGGGGAAAATAGCTATTAAGTTGTTACTTGCTACTCTGTAACATGGAGTATTGCAACCACTTAATTAAGGGATCTGCTCCCATCAGTAGTAACTGCTTAAGTATGTGTAGAATTCATGGAAGATTAAAGATTAAAGTACTTTGCTTTCTGAACAGGTGTAGCATAGGCAGGAGGAGAACATGCTACGTGCTTGACTGTGCCTTTCGCATGCAGTCAGACAGGAATTCATCAGTAATTTTTTTATTTCTACTTAGAAAATTAGCATTTAAAAAAGGACCTCATTCAGAGAATTGTAGGTTGGTTTGGTTTTTTTTCCTCAGGAAAAGAAAAAGAGAAATTTAATTTTTTAATTACTATTTTTGGTTCAAAACATTTTTTAACAGATGCGGTCATGCTACTGATCAGCTAATTAGGGCAAATAATTGTTTTGCATTTTAACTGTGAAAGTGTTTGAAAAAGTTTTTAAGTTGTCTAAATTGAAGTTGTTTTTTATTCTTGTGAATCATTTTTGTGAGTTGTCTCTTTCCTTTCTCCTAAGAATAGTTCAGTTGCACTTTTTTTTTCTGCCCATTAATGTTTCTCCATAGTACGGAAGCTGCTTCTTTCCCACTTTTACTGACTCTGAGCTGGTGGAATGGTTCAGTACAGGTGACTTACCATATCTGTTAACTTGCAGGAAGAAGGGTTTTATTTTTTTAGAAGACACAAAATACACTTGCTTCCCACTATCTTACACCTTGGAAAGAATCTTGTACTTTGTCCTTGTTGACAGCACCAAGAATGAATATATACTTCCCTGGACACAGTGGTGGGGTTGAAAAGTGGCCATTCTACCCCATAGCTCGCTGACCTGGTATCAGTGGTGAGGACATGCTTCCATTTTCCATTGCAAAGGATGTCACGAATCCTACTGGAATGATGTCTTTGAATCCTTGAGAATTGATGCCTGTAGACTTAAGAAATACAAAGTCTTTTATCTTTATAATCTGCATTCCTTTTTTGTTATTTAACATAGACTATGTTTAACAGGACTATACTTGTACATCTCATAGCCTGGATCTGGCCATGTAGTGATCCAGTGCTCCAGTCATTGTGAAAGTGCCATGGGCTTCCTAAATATTGTAGGTATCAACTCGAGCAGCCTAAAGTATCAGAAGAGCCATAGTTGAACTACCAGAGGGACAAACTGAAATGGGAATTGGTTTTTTGGGTTGTCCCTGCGTTGGTGGATAGAGGAAGTATTCTGCTAGGGTGTGCTTGTCTGCTTTTTGCGAAAACAAGAAAACAGTTTCACAGACCAGATAAAATGCTCACAGCCCCATGGTAAAGGCTGTACAACTGTTACATGCTATTAAGTTGCCCACAAAAATAGACAACTTTGCTTTCTCTTATTGTATAATTTAAATAGCAGTAAAGAAAACAAAGTCAGATCTAGTCCCAAGATGCTGCTTGAAGTCTAATCTCATGACAGTTTTAAAACTTGACTATGCTCTTAAATTATTCCCACTCTCTTCCCTCTCAAAAGCCAAGCAAGGTGAAACAAAATAAACCTCACCAAACTACTGAAGTGCATTTCTCCAAAAGGCTAAGCAAGGTTTGATGGCTTCACTCTCTCAATAGAGACAGTGATTTCTGGTTTTATGGGGACCCCACTGCAACATCAGCCTGGAACATCAGTTCTTGGACATGTTAGGTCATAATGTTTTGTTGTTGTTGTTGATCATGAGAGTTTTGAACTATAAAAAATCCCAAATAAAATTGTTGTTAACCACCCCCAATACACACTTTTAGGAAGTTCATAAAGCATTTTGTTGAGGGAAAACAGAAAATAATTACCAGATCTTTAAGAACAGAAAAGAGGAAAGATCTAACAAGTGTAAGCTATGGTCCTTTAACACTCAGGTGTTTGCTTGTGATGCTGATTCATCCTTTTTCATTTCCTGTGAAAAAGAGAGTAGTGAACTGGAAAGCTGCCCTTTCTCTTTCACTTACTGATGTCTTTCTCTAATGTCTTTTCTCCTGTCTGTTCACCCCTATCTGTCTGCTACTTGATACTCAGTAAATTCTAGACAACCCGCAAGCCTCTGAGTTAAGGCATTTTAGTTTGGTGGCAGAGGGTGTTCACAAGAACTGTCTTCATTTTTTAAAGTTTGGAGTTCTTTGTGGGAGTTTTTTCCAGTAAAAATTACCTTTGTCCATTGGATATGAGAAGAAACATTCTCAGTGTGCACCTTGATCTGTTGGAAACCTTGGAGGCCTTTGTACAAACTGTGGGAACCGAGATTCCTTCAGCAGAACAAAAAACTCAGCAGATGAGTGGCAACATCTTACAGTCTTGCACATCAGAAAAGGCAGTATTGCTTCTGGGAAATCGAAGGTGTATGAAGAAATTCCCTGATTATTTTCACTGGGAAAGTTGAGTGATGTGTAGGCACTATCTTTTCACTGTTCTATAAACACTTTAAAAGGTAGTTGAAGCCCTAGCACAGGCAAGGTGTATCTACAGCTTTGAGTTAAAAATGTTTTCTCCAGCATTTTAATACTTTATTTAATGCTCAAAATTTCTTCCTCTGTGCTTAATAAAGAAAAGTTTTAGTAAATCTAGTGTACACCTGCCTAGGTGTGGAGCTAGCTTAAATGTCTGATGTACAGGTCTCTTTCTGTTTTGTAACCTTAAGCTAGAATTTGTGTGTTTCTTATGCTCTTGAAATTCAAGGTGAAGCTTTCCAACCTCCATCTACTGCCTGAAATGTTTGGGTTTTTTCCTTTCTTAGGAGGCTTCTGAGCTCTCCTCTCTGGAACCTCAGCTGTCCAAGCTGGGTGTCCCTCTCTGTGCTGTTGTGAAAGAGAAGATAGGGACTGAAGTGGAGGATTTTCAGCATTATTTCAAAGGAGAAATATTTCTGGATGAAAAGGTACAGTGAAGTTGCTGTTCTTTTGTTTAAAAACAAGCTTATGAATGTCCCCTTTGAAGAGCTTGTATAAATAATATAGATAGAATGTGGTCTGGATGAAAAGGGATTTAGTGGCATTGTAGTTAAGTAGTTAATTAGCTTTGCTTTTCTTTATATATGTCCTGCTCAGCTTACAAACTGCTCTGTAGCTATACACTGATGACATGCTGTTGCAGGATTATTCCTCCCCTTTAACAGGTAAACAATATGGCCTATAAGTATTTATTCTGTTCTTCTGCTGGCTGTGTAATTTATTATCAAGGTCTGAAGGTAACAGACATAATTAATTGATGATGTACAGGCCAAACTACAGTGATGTGGCTTGTACACTGACACATGTTGTATTGCCAGTCTTATGTCCTACAAAACCACGGCCCTGCTTATTCCTTAACCCAGAAGATGCATTTAGAAATCATTTGGCTTCTGAAGGAAAAATAACACATAATACTCAAAATCAGATAGAAGATAACTTTATTTTTCCCTCCCCACTCTGCCTGTGTGAAAGAATCAGGCTGATGTAAAAACAAAAACCAACCAAAAAACTAAACCAAACAAACAAAACGCCAAACCCAAACAGATGGCTGATAAAGTTTCAGGACTTGGCACCACTATTAACTCTTTACCAGCATTTTTATTGCCATACTTCAAAAATCAGAAAAAAGACCTTATTGTCAGCAATAAGGATGTAGAGGTACATGGGGGTTAAATACCTGTGGATTAGCATAAAATCCACATGAATGGTGGCAGTACTACTAGTTGGCTGAGTGGAGGGAAATGATTGTGTAGTGTGTTAAAGAAGTTAGTTCATGTGCAATTTCTTTTTAGCTCTGCCTGGTTAGCTTTTGTGTATTGTGACCTTTCCGGCTGGTTTCCTGAATTTCATTTGGGAGGAAAAGCCCTTTTCACTTTACTAAGATATTTTCTGTTTCCTTACAGAAAGGCTTTTATGGTCCACGCAGACGAAAAATGATGCTGTCGGGTTTCTTCCGCTTGGGAGTCTGGCAAAATTTCTTCCGTGCTTGGAAAAGTGGATATAGTGGTAACCTGGAAGGAGAAGGATTCACACTGGGAGGAGTATATGTGATTGGGGCAGGAAGACAGGTACTGCAGGCCATCTAGGAGGCTTTTATGTCTCCTGTGAGACCAAGTTTCTTTTCTGGAATTCTTCCATTGCGGGTAAGTTGATCTCCTGTGGGCAGACTGGTGTATGAATTTTTCTCTTGTGTCTTTGACTAGGGTGTTTTACTGGAGCATCGTGAGAAACAATTTGGAGACAAAGTCAGCCTTCCATCTGTCCTTGAAGCTGCTGAGAAGATACAGCCACAAGCTTCATAAGTGAAAAAATAGTTGCACAATTTTCTGATCACAGTTTGAAATGTAGAATGCATCTGTTTCTTGAATGTGCAGTTTAATTGCTTAACTATTTAGTGATCTATGCAAAGGAAAGATTCTCTATTCAAACA